GAATGCCACCTCTCCCTCATCCAGGTCATGAAAGCCTTGACAGGTACCAGGCAAGCACCTGCACTTACTGACCCACCCACAGCCCTGGCGAGACCCGCCGTCACCCCCTCCCTGTCCCCTCGCCCGCCACCCCGAGTAGGGACATCTTCTGGGCCTCTCCTTTCTAATGCTGGCGCGTCCTGTCTCCTTTGTTACCTGCTGCGTTTGTAACGGTCAAATGTGTGTCTCCCAGAGGTCTGCGTCCCTTTCCTCACCTCCCCTCGTAGACTGCATGCCTGGCATGGCCCGCACTGTTTATTGTGTTCGTGAGCGATGTGTCCATTTTGTATGTCTGGGCCACCAAAAGTCCCACTGTTATCTCAAATGATTTGCTAAAATCCACGCTTCGTCAAATTCTCTTCACCTCATTATTTTCGAAGAGGACGACTGAGGCTTAGTAAATCCGTGCCAGCTTCTAATTGTCGAGTGAATGCACCTCCCAAACTCAGCGCGAGCTGCCGCAGTAAGAACTTACCGTTCAGGGGTAGCAGAGGGGCAGGCGTGTCACAGAATGCACAGCTGCCCCACAGGAGAGAGCACTGGGTTGGAAGGGTGTAGCTTCTTGGGAGATACGCTGTCACCTGGGCCTGAAGAGTAGACTGGGGGGATGCCAGACAGGCGGGAACAAAGGGTAAGCCTCTGTCTGTCGTCCATCCTGATGGGAATCACTGGGCGATGCGGGTGTTCCTTCTGCAGGCCTCACGCAGAGCAGAGACCCGGTGTCTTAGCAGCAGCCGCACCCTTCCCGGCTCCCAGCGGAAGGGGCTTAGAGTAGTCAGTGATCTCTCCAGACCTCAGAGGAAGGGGAGAGAGCGTGGGGAGACCCGGGAGACACATTTTGCCTCAGTTTATCTCCACTTAGGCTTGCTTACACCCCATCTGGGAGCCGATTCGAGAACTAAATGGCTTACAAGGAGATTTTACTAAGGTTCGGTAGATCGTGTGGCTTCGCAAGCTCTACTTCCTGTTGCTGCTCCGTGGAGTAAGCACTGCTGGCCTTTCCCGTCTATTTTGCCGAAGTCTAGACTCATCGCGTGAAACGGCGTGGTTGACAGCCTTTTGTGGCACCAGCAGATATTGGTGCAGGACGCGTTTGCTGAAGCAGAGACGCGCACCTTGGCCGGTGTGCCTTCGTCCTGCGGAACCGCGGGCACACTTATCTAGATGCGCCCATGCCTTCTCCGTGGGAGCAGGGCACTGGTACGGGACCCTGTGTTCCCGGCCGCAGGACTGCAGGGGCAGTCTTATCTCAATCTGTAGTAGGCATCTGTGCTTGTATTTTCTTAAAGTCTGATTTAATTTAGCATAACAGCGTGCCCATAGGAGTCTTAATGAAACAGGGAAATCTAACATTTCTAGCTCCTGTTCGACACAGTGGAGACCATGGGAAAAGACTATTTATCATCAAACCTTCTGGATTCTATGACAGGCGTTTTTTGCGTTTAGTGGTAAGTTAAAATTTTTTGTTGGATTAAGCTCTTTCTATTCGAGTGTATCCTATTCTTTACCTCCTTAAAGAACGTCTTTTATTTTAAAAAAGATTTTACTTTGTAAATTTATATTTCTTTTAAGGGAGATTTTTGCTATAGGGTACATGTGCTCGCTGGAGAGACAGAGACG